AATCGTGAAAAACATCTGCTTAAAGAGGCAGTAGAATTTAAACCACATTTACCTTGTTGTTGAATATAGGCAGCCTAGGGTGTCTACTGTACCATACCAAACGTCCATGTTGTCTCTGACCTGCTCTCCTTTCTAAGTTAGCAAGGTTGTAATGGCCACAGAGAAACGGTTTGTTCTGAGAACAGTTGGTTTAACGCATCATAAACTTAGACACACTCCTTTAAATCTGCATGTCCCAACCCACTTTAGTGTTGCATATATAAACACTGGTCATGGTAATGCTAACCACAGAACAGTGATACGCCAAACTATTGCTAAAGCTAGCCTGAGCTGCTAAAGTTCAAGTAGAAAATCACCGCACACATTCCAGGATGCACTGGAAATATTCAGACTATGAATGAATGCAAAAAACATCCACAGCTTTTGGTACTTGTTCTTGTCACTTAGTCCCTCGCTCGTCCACACTCCCACATCGTTCGCATCCCAAAACCCCATACCCAGACATCAGTCGTTCACACCCACAACTGCCAGCAGGGCAAATCGGCCGAACAACATGCAGCTCATTCACTATTCATATCCTGACAGAGTGGGAAGGGGAAACTAGTCTTTTTATGTGAGCCTAATTTAAGGGGTGATTTTGGCTATTATCAGGGCTCCTGGGCCATTTTGAGCCTCAACAAAGTTTTATATGTTATACAGAGGTTCAAAGAACAGTTTCCAGTTGTAAATAAACAGTATTTTATTGATTTGTCTATAAATGCGTTCATACAATGTTAAAGTCAGTTTAATTTGATTTTAATCTTGATGAGAAATGTTGTGCATCCATTGGCATTAGTGCCTTTTTAACATGCAAATAAGACAGAAAACCTCTCAGTATAGGCCAAGAAAATCGGTTGACCATGACCTCTACATATTGGCAATGATTATAGCAATAAAAAAACATATAGGTTAATCTCTTCAACAGAGTCAATTATTATAGATAGATAAATGTGCCTGTGGTAGTAGCTGAGAGTCGACACAAACCTTACAGATGAGACAGAATATCTCAGGATATCATGTGAGACCTTGCAAAAGATGAGATGTGACACAGATTGCTAAAAAAAAATTAAACGCTTCTTTAAATAAGACAACTAAACATTAAAATTCTTGCATGAAAGGTGGTGGTGGGTGATATGCATTGCTTAGTTAAATGTCAGGGCTTTTAATTTTAAAGAAGGGTCACAACTAAAAGTATTTTGATTCCTTCTTTGCTACCAGGTTTGGACAGAGTCGTTTAGAGCTAGACTAACAGAAGAGTTTAGTCTAGTCACAGAAAAGGTCACAGGTGTAAAACATAAGCTGCATTCGAGGCCATGCAAAAACTGGCAACAATCCACTTTAGTAGAAGCATCATGTGTTTGCAACCTGTTAAAATAACTTTTTACTGAAGCAAAACTGCTGATATGACCACAGAACAGTGACACGCCAAACTACTGCTAAAGCTAGCCTGAGCTGCTAAAGTTCTAGTAGAAAAACAACACAGCACACATTCCAGGATGCACTGGTGGCCTTGAAAACATCTGGAGGAGATGTTTGGAGCAGATCAGAAGATATCTTGCTCTTCTGAAGACAAATGTAAAGCCTGAAGCTCTGAGATGATTGAGGATGATGGGATTCTAATCCTGAACCATCATCCTGATTTTCCCTCACAGCTGACGAGAAGGAGTTTGCCTTATGAACTTAATTATGTCCACTTCACACTCTTCAATCTAAGTAAAATATTCCTTACAGCACTGAGAACCCTAACCCTAACCCTACCCAAGTCTACAGACAAATTAATTTAAAAAAAACTTAAAATTAGACATGTTTTTTCTACTTCCACTTCCTCACTCATCACGACTTCTTTCAAGCATGAACAAAGCTTTGTTTAGGTCATTCTGCTAAACTGGTGGTGGTTTGAGAGATAGCTCTAAGATGTTACACATGTGGGTGTTGTACTCAAAGCAGTGCACCACTGCTCTAGAGTTTGATAAATAATCCAAAAGACCTTTTGCAATCGAATACAAGATTTTAGTTTCACTCCTCCAGGCTTTAACTTGATCTCCACTGTTCCACATAAATATAATATTATTCTTTAACTTCTCAGAAACCTGAAAATGTTTCGCTGTCACATGTCTGGATGCTGATATGTCTAATTTTAAGATTTGCATCAGTTGATGCAAACTGCAGCCCTGAAGCTCTGTTCTCTGGTTGCTTCTTGCAGTTTGGACCAAGAATGTCTTGAACTGAGTCGAATCTATATTTAAACTGGCAACGAGAATGTTTTTGCAGCAGTTTTCTCATCTGATATTTCGCCATGTGTGCATGGGTTTTCTGCATTAGAATAACAGTAGTAAAAGGTTAGTCTGCTCATACTTATGAGGAAATTGGAGAATAAATCATTTAAAAATGTTTTGCAAACAGCTGTCTATCATTTCAATGCCAGAATGAGTTAAAAATTGCTTGACTTAAAATAAATTTAAAATGATGTGATCTTTTTTATGAAGGAAATCATTTTATTTATTCATCTCTACTTTGGAATACAATTGCTGCAGTTGGGTCTGAAAATATTAACATAGGTGTATGAATATTTAAGAAAACGTATGTTAACCTATTGCAATTATATGAATTTATGCACAAATTGGTCATATAATGTTGAATCCAATTAAATCCAAGCGTTCACATACTTTTTTCATTATGTATATATGTATATATAAGTATAGTATATATAAATATATAAATATATATATATATATTATATATTATATATATATATATATATTATATATATATATATATATTTATATATATATATTTATATATACTGTATATATTTATGTGTGTGTGTGTGTGTGTGTGTGTGTGTGTGTGTGTGTGTGTGTGTGTGTGTGTGTGTGTGTGTGTGTGTACAGGTATAATCTGGTATAACACTATATTGGTTATTTTCTTCTTACCAAAGTGGACTGCAATACAGTTGATGATCTATTGATTTTTAGATTTTGTGACCCCATAAAAATAATAAATAAAAAAGAACCAGACCCCTAGACAGAAATAACCTTTAAAATATTAATTTAAGTGTCATTTGTTCAATAATTTGTTAAATACAATGTACTAATATAGATTTTGTTATTTACTGTTTAAACCTATCTGATGGTCAGTTAATCATTTACTAACCCAATAGCTGACAGCTTACAAGAGCTGCACAAATTAACTAAAACGTTTGCAGTAAACTTCCAAAAACGAGCCGATTATAACGGGCTGATGTCAAAATCGAACGAGTTACGAAGTAATCTTTAAAAATAAAAATCCAGACCAACTCTCTGTGCTGACAGGTAAAATGGGTCACTTGGGTTTCAACACCTGGCTCGTAAACTCACAGTGTGTGCAGTTTGCATTATACATCATGCACCGGGAATAAAAAGTGACACATATAGGTCAACAGAAGGCATCACGGGCTGACATGATGGAGGGGAATCACTGCTTTGATCATATGCTTACTTTTTTTTTAGATGAACAACATTAAATTTGAAACACTGATGCAACGCTGAGGCAATGTAGCTTTCAGACGTAAAAATGCTTATCTCGAGCAATCTGGATCATGCAGCTTGTGTTGATTTAGTTTGCAGATGTCATCCCAGATTTGGTGAATGGATCAATCTCAGTCAAATCTTACATTCTTCAAACATTTGAAACAACAGAATCCACACATAAAATCTATTCAAAACTCACGTGTATAATTGATTATTACTACGATGGCATCTTGTAACATTATAAACACTCCTTTGTCTCTGTTTCTGCCCCTAATGTTTCTGTTTGTCGCCGTCAGCTCAGAGGGTATTAGCTTGTTTTTGTGTTTAGGAGCCTTTCAAAAAAAAACTCATTAGAGAGGAAGTGTGTGTTAGTGGGTTGTGATTAGGTCAGTCAATGAGGGGACATCTAGAATGATCTAATCTCCTTTTTAATCTGACCACATGCAGGATTTCTGTCTGCGTCAGTGCTTGGCGCAGATCTGATCTGGAAGGAGTGACACAATAAACTCTCATGGGAAAGGTGGGCAGGGTGTGATTGTCTCTAAGTAGTTGGTGCTATCTCTGTTTGCAGATGTCAAATTGCAGCTGTTTGCACTTAAGCGTTACACAAGATGATTCATAACACTAATTATTAACACTAAAGGAAGAGCAATGAGATACTGACACCTCTGAAGAGCAAGATTAAGATATTTAAACACTAAAGTGGCTCTACAGACTAATTGGCTACTTTGATGTGGGGGAAAAGTGTTTCTTCATCAGTGCAAACTAAGTTTTGACAAATTTCATTAGATTAAAGGAAGGTTGAGTAGAACCAAAAGCAAAAATTATCTCCTTGCTGTGCGTTTGCTACAGAAGCAGGTTGGGGCTTCCTTGCACCTTTCAGCGGAGGCTTACAACTGTGCTTTGACATAAAGTAGTCCCAAGTCTAAAATAGTGCCTGTGATTCCTTTATGTTACTAATTATTTTCACTTGCAGTCAGTCTGGTTGTTTAGGTCACCAAGCAGAATTGGGATCAAAACTGAATGATTTTAAGGACTTTTTTTAACTCACAATGCTAGCTGGACCCATTCACTTACTGTGTTTTACGCTAAGCTAAAGCTAAAGTAGTACAGCCGGGTCAGGAGAATGGCTGGGCTGGTTAAAAATTGTTTTTTCCCCTTTATCTAATGCTGGGAAATATGTCAACAGACAAATGGGTGGAATATCTCTTTAGGCTACCTATACAGAGACCCAAGCATTTCTTTCAAACACAGAGAAAAGAAAAGAGAGCAAGAGATGCTCACTTTTGACTAAAAACAAACATCCCAAAAACTTTACCATCACCTCTGTAAAATCCCAGCATCTTATTGATTTCCAGCTCTTCATTTAAATATGTCCTTTCCACTAGTGACGATGATTTAGAGTAAGCTAAACTATATATAACAATGGTTTTAAGGTGGCAAAGAGTTTACCTTGTGTATATTTCTATATCCAGTCTTAGAAAGTGTCAGCGACAGATGGCTGGTGTCCCGAGGCAACGTCTGAGTTTGTGCTGGAGCAGCCTAAACACACACACACACACACACACACACACACACACACACACACACACACACACACACACACACACACACACACACACACACACACACACACACCACAATGAAGTATATCTGATTATGACAGATACAGTAAGATCACACCCCGAACTTTCACAAACCAATGTAAATGTTGCTTCAGCACAGACCAAAGTTTTTTACATTTCGAAGTATTTCAAAAGTCTAAAAAGTACTGATGCCTCCCCCACAACACAGTTTGCATGACTCATTAACAGCAGCCAGGGAAGTTACTGTCAAAAACGGATCCAAGTCTCAGAGCCATAAAGGTCATCATGATAGTGTCACAAACTGGTTTTGTATTTCCCTAAAATTAATGCACCAGAAAATCCCTCCACATATTCACTCTGGGGCTTTTTATGAACAAATTTGAGGAAAGCATTAATGAGCTAATAAAACATGTTAAAGAAGCTGAGTTTTCTGTTAATTTTTAGATTAACATAAATGATCGACATCCTCTAGTAAAAAGTGTCACAAAATGTTTTTTCCTAGATAGAATGCATTTATCTTAATTATTGGAATCAGAGACATTTTTAATATGTGTCAACATTTTTCCAATATATGAATATATTGATCCTCCACTCCTCGTGGACTACGATTAGCCTGAGATTAGCCTGTCTGACACGTCTCACTACAAAGAGAGAATACCATCCAGGCTTTTCTGTGGAGACTTCTGTGCAAATGTCCCCATTGGTGCTGATGCAGACAAATCACACAAGCATGTAAGAGTCCTGACCCTGCCAACCTTCCCACCTTTCATCCGGCTCACACACTGATAACCACATTATAAGACGGTTTCGATAGTAAGAGGCCGCACAGGGGTTCAGGAGGAGCAGTGAATCAATACCTGCTGTGTTGGATTCTTTATCTTGTTGGGGATTTGAGCACGGGCTCGCCGAGGAGGTTTCCATGATCTCTCTTTGGTAATGCTATTGACGTAATAGCATCTACCTGTGGCTAGGTCAGAGTACTGCTCCCATGGCTCCATGACCTGCACGGGCTGCTGACCCGGAGCGGGGCAGGGTGGTTCAGACTGGGATTGACGCCTCTCTGGCTGCATTTCGGTGTAAATAGGAGAGTCTTGCCACGACAGCTGGGACATATAGGCTTCTGTTGGGACCTTGAATGTAGAAAGAGATGCCCAAAAAAGGTTTAGGAGGTCTCCAAAAGAAAAACTTATCTCCTCGCTGTGCATTTGTCTGTTTGACACCTTAATCTAACCGCTTACGTGTCTCCTCAGCCTTCATTAGTGCTTACATGAGTGGTTCATCCCTAAATTAAACAAATCAAATCAAAGATTTAAAACATGCAGGAAACATGCTGGAAGCAGACTGCAGCAACAGGTATGGCAGCTCCATTTTTTTTATAAGCCCAACAGACCAGAACGGCACTCTGAAATTGCAAATGCAGTTTTCTGGCCACAGAGGGCAGTAGTGGTCTGAGTAACATTTCATTAACCCTGTAAAGGTTCATTTTAGCACATGCTGGCTCAAGAAAATGATTTAAAACTCGGAAAATTTTGCATAGTATGCCTTTAAGAACAAAGATGTCCGTGTTCCACACGTGTGTAAACATTCTTTACTCCATTTACTCCAAGTGGCAGTGCTGCATCTTTCACTCCTCTGATCAACACCTTTCTTGTAATTATCTCCCTGATAACATGAACCTCATTCTCGGGGTCAAATGAGGCCATGTCTCATTGAAATGAAGGCCTGAAAAGTGCTTTGTGTTTTATTTTAAACTTAATTTTAATAATAAAGTAAAAGAATAATGAGCTACTTTAACTTTTTCTCTCCACAACAGACTTGATTTTCCTTCTTTTCCTACCTAGACTAGGTTTATATTTTCATCCACAAGAAGAACACAAAATTACTTTGACTAGATTATCTTTAGTGAAATATGTGAAAACATGTCAGGGGAGATTAAACTAAACTAAACTGTGACTTCCTCCCACAATCGAAAAACATGTCTGTTTCTATTAGTGATGCACCGATATGACATTTTAAGGCCGATACCGATATCCGATATTAATCAGTGTTATGGCTGATAACCGATATTGATGCCGATATATTGTCCATCCATAGTTTATATTAATTGTCCTTAGGTGTGTGTGTTCTTGGTTGTTTGTCCTGTGTGTCTCTGTGTTGCCCTGTGTTGGACCCAAGCCCCCACAATGTGGCTCAAAAATTGTAGCCAACCCAGGAATACCAAAAATTGCAGTTCCACCCTCATCCGCTCCGCTGGGGGCTGGTGTCAGAAGCGAGCAAATCCTCATTGACTCCCATGTTAAAAATACCAATTTCACAGCAGAAATAAACATGTTTACAGCCTGGTACCAAAACATGTTTTTTTGTTTAAATGATCTAGTTTACACTCATGACAACTCTGAGGGGGGTGAATTTTTTTCTCACTCTTCTGTTTAAGTGTATTAAAAGCCTAAAATTCTGTATAATTAATGAGCATCAGACCCACATGACCACAGAGCTAGCTCCGTGGAAAGGCCTCAGTAGAGCCTCTGTCTGGCTTGGAAACTGTTCCGGGATTTTGAGTCTCTGTGTTTGTGTATTCTTTTTTGGATATTTTTTGTGCAATTGTTGGACAAAATGATTTGCTGTGGCATTAATTGCACTAATAGAGCGTCCAAGGAGTCTCCACTTCATTTTTTTCGGTAAGTAAAATTATATTTATGTATTTTAGGTCACTGCCGAGCTGAGCTTAGATTTTAACATGTACTGTTTAACCATGACATTTAAATTTAATATTGTTAAACCCAGTGCATTTAACATAATGCTGCACTTTAGAAAATGGGTTGAAATATAACATGTTGGTGGAGCTGGGTTCCGACTATCGGCTTGTGGAGCTCTCGGGAGACCGATGTTTTCCACCCGATTCTCCCCTCCCCGCAGCTCGGTGCATCTCTGTCTGATCGCGGCTTCTGTCTGCTGCGCGGGCTGCCGGCTTTCAGCAGCTTTCGGGAGACCTCTGTGTTCCACCCGGTTTTACCCAGCGGTCAGCCCAGCGTATCTCTGACTCAGAAGCTCTGGTGTTGTGCACAGTTAACTCCGGTTATAGCTAGGTTGCTACCTCCGTTAGCTTAGCTCCCACCTCCGCGTTAGCTTCAGGTTAGCTTGTAGCTAGTTCGACCGGGTGTCGTCAGTTGATCCCAGCCTTACAGCCACACCCTCAGCTCCACCTCTCTTCCCTTTTGTGGAATTGTCTGGGCTTGACGGAACCTGTGACACGGTCAAAATGGCGGTGGTGGCCACCTCCCATTTAGCCTCAAAAACGTGTTATTGGAGTCTATGGAAATGAATTGTCCAGTATATATGTCGATGGTTGGACCGGGGACCTGGCCAGGGTGTACCCCGCCTGTTTGAACAGAGATTGCTGGAGATCGACACCAGCCTCCCACAACCCTGCGAGGATTAGTGTGGACAATGGATGGGTGGAATCTACAAATCAGTTCATCTCCTTAAATTCAGAGGATAATCCCTCCTTGAAGACTCGGATTAAATCTACTCTATAATATGTCATCAGAGCAGAAGCAGCAGAAACATCTGCAGCTTTCTACTATCAAGAAACGGTTTCTATTTGCAAAACATGGAGTTATGAATGTGGCTGAATTAATCCTGGTTTCTGGTATTAAAGGCTCAAACATTCAAGTAGGAAGCAAGTGAAAGGAAGGCACAAAGCAACAGCGAGGAAGTGAGTGAGTGATCATGAAAAGGAGCGCTGTCATTACCACTGACCTCCCTACAGAGGGAAGTCACACACAGCTCGGTGGAAATGAAACTCTATTTGGAGAGACGCTTTGGACACTCAATGGAGGGAGTTTCCCTCTGCTGGCAGCAGCGAAACCTTGAGTATTTCTCTGCTTGTGTAATCCCCTCTTATGTAACGTGGAGAGGCTCTAGCGTCACCACAATACTAACTTGATTGCTGCTGTAGGAGGATTATTAAAGACAACTACAAGTGTAAATCAAATCCATCCTCCTTTGCCAGCTCTGACCTCAGCCACGGGGCAGAATTAAATCCAAACACACCGGATTTTGTTTCTATTTTTACACTTGTTTACTCTGTTATTCTGGATTTATAATGAAAATAATATTTTGTGGGCTGCATGGTGGCACAGTCGGTAGCACTGTTGTTTCACAGTAAGGTTGCAGGTTCAAATCCTGGCTGCAGTCTCTTCTGCATGGAGATAGCATGCTCTCCTCATGAATGAATGGGTTTTATCTAGGTACTCTGAACTTCTCCTACAGACCAGAAACATGCATTTTAAGTTGATTGGAACCCAAAATATTTCCTATGTGAGAGTGAGAATGTGACTAGTTGTTTGTCTCTAACCTACTTCACACAGGAAGCATCAGTCAAGCGGAACGGCAGCAGAACGTTGCTGCTTCAAATTGAATCCATTATAGTGTATGGGGGTGATTCAAACCAGTTGCAACGCGGACATTTTTTGGCGCATTCCAGAAGCGGCACGCTGCGCCGCTCAGCTGAAGATGGGACCGGATTCTTATTTTCCCACGAGCGGCTTCTGGGACATGACAATTTCAGCAGTTAACATAGGGCTAGACAGGAAATCACACATGGTTTCAGTGTAAATCCACTGGTAATTTTCAAAATAAAAGACTAAAAGAAACTATATTATTTCATATCTATGTAGATTACGTTAATACAAGTGACCTAAGTGCAGCAAGGTGTTTTTCATGGCTTTAATCCTGGCAGTGGAGAGGAACAATATCATCATCAGTGATATCAAACCTGATCTTCTTCTTTTTGGTTTAATGGCAGATAGCATAAACAAACTGTGACCTTTGAAGTCTCGAGGGATTTTGTGATCTCGCCAGACCAGCGAGGAGCACGTCAGAGGAGCTTCTCCACAAAAGTCGTGAGTACACCGTTCTGCTCCTCGGATGCTTCCAGAGTGAAGTAGGAGTAAGTGTCTCTGATAAAGCAACACTAAAGAACTTTAACCCTTTTAGCTATTGCTGCATGATCCCTGAGTATTTTCGTGAATCTGAGAACCGTACCTGCAGCAGGTTGTTCTGGCCCGAAGTCCCCACCATGTCCCACTGGCTGCAGGATTTCTTGGGCACCTTGTGGTTGATGTGACTGCCGAGGCCTCCCCCCACCTCGTCGTAGGGATTCTCCATCATGTTTTCAAGGAGGTTGCTGGAGCTCTGGCTCCGGGTGATGGTAGGGACCACCCTGGGATTTGGTGGTGCTGTTTGAGCCATGGATGATGTGTGGGACACAGGGACTGTGAGGTGGCATGACTGGGAGCTGGAAGAACTGGGAGTAAATGTGAAACCAGAGAGGGGAAGGGTGGGGAATCGGTTTCCACCCATGTTGGTGTTCTTTTCAGACCTCCTGAAGGCACTGCTGGAGTTCAGGTTCTCCATGGAGTGATAGATGGGTTTGTTTACTGAGAGGAGCACAAACAAAATCAGTAATCAAGCATAACCCGGGATGTTTCTAGGTCTACTTTGTTGTGTTTAATGGGTTACCTTGGTGATGCACATTACTGCCCGTCTCTGTGAGACTTGGGGAGGGTGAAACTCGAGGAAATATCCTGATGTTAGAGTTCAAATAGTCAGATGTGACCAGGCGCTGGGGCAAGGGCATCAGCGTGATAGGCACCTCCGTCACATAAGTAGCAGGGACGTACAGTGGCTTTGTTTTACTGGCTGCTCCAATCCTACGTACCTGTCAGAATAAATACATAAAAAAGATCTTTGAATGTTTTTTTTTTAATCCACTTAGTCCAACAAAGCAGCAGTAAACCCAGAAGAGTGCTGATGTCAGAGCAGGAATCTCAAAGGCAACATGATCCTGAGTGCTGGAATCGAGGGGACGTCTTCACTTATCAAAAAAAGACCTGAGTTCCGATCAAGAGCATTAGAGATGATCGCACTGCTATACCTGTCTGCTCTGAGTCATTTAGGTCATTGTCACTTTGGAGTTTGGGTCATTTCCCTCAAGTTGTGAACGGTTGTGAAACCACACGGAGAGGAGCTTCAAGGCTGCGTTGCATCATGGGAAAGGTGGAACCAAACGCCACCTTCTCTGTTAGACGTCGTTTTTCCTGTTTAACATTGATGACTTCTTCACTCAAACCTTCTCTGTCTGGAACGTACATGCTACTGATCTGAAAGATTTTCTTTGAGATGTGGGTAGATTATGGGTCTGGCTCGGTGTTAAATAAGGAAACAAATATCCTGCACAGATTTGGGATGGCCTTCTATTCCTCTCTGTCATTTAGTGTATTTTCCAGATACTCTAGCTGACTTTCCAATCACAGGTTTAAATCTTTTTTAATGTGCTTGTATTTCTTTAAAAAATTCAATCAGCATGAAATGATCCACACGGGAAGCAGGGCTGAAAAAAGCTGTTGACTTTGCACGGACAACGCCAATGTAAATGCAATGACCTTAACAGGGCCAGATGGAGCTGACCGTAGTGTGAAGGACCCACATACAGTAAGTAAAAAGAGACAAAGCAGCTAAATGAGTTGTGGTAGATATACATTTCTTAGTGATGCACCTGATTTAGATTCTCAGTACTGGTGGATGCACAAGTTAGAGTTTGTTTGCTAAAAGGTCAGAAAAGGGAAGTTTCTGTTAAACAAGTGAAGTCAGTTTCCCCTTTACTATATTTAACCTCCTTTTGCATGGTGCCATTCACAAACCAGAGTCTCATTATGAGTCATGAAAGCTTCTAAGCCAAGTGCAGTAAACGTCAGAACAATGACGTGTTCATTTACCAAATGCATGTATTTGTTTCATCTTTGGGTTTTACTGGCATAAGAGAAACAAAATGTTGTCCCACCTGCCACCAGTCTGCATTTGTCTTCTTCAGGAGAATAAATCGTTCGCCCTCTCGTATGCAAACTTGTCGTCCATCTGCTCCACGATAGCTGTAGTCATACTGAGCCTCGAGTACCACAGTACCACTGGGGACCCCGCATACAGTCACGCCGCCGGGGTTCACCATGTTGGCAGGTTGCGCCTGACCCACAGAGCGACGCCACGTACCAGACAGCATGGCTCTCCTCACAGTCCTGTTCTGCTGGATTTGCCGGGGGAACGCTGAAGAATGTAGGAGTTTGAGATTGTGCCGGACAGGTGAGACTGGAACCAGGCCAGTGCCATGCTCTGAAACAGGAAGGGAGAAGAAATACAGAGTATTATCATGGCAGGTGGAAAATGCAGTTAACACTACTTTTGCAATAACTGTCAAGAAACTGAATTAAAATGTGTTGTTCTAATTTTAGTACGCCTGACAGCAGAGCACGAAGGGCAACACCTCTTTTCTGTTGTCTTTTATCCCCTCAGAACCAAGAGGCCCATGTGAGTGAATAACTCGTGTGTTTAGATGGAAGCGAGCAGAATTCCTAAAATAGCACTCGTTTCCCTCTCTGCACCTGAGCCAGCATCCTTCAGTCTTACAGCCATGCTTTTACCCAGCCAAGACCCGCTTACATAAGAACAGAGCGTTTAACTTTCTGCCAGACATACAGAAATACAGCTGCACACTGTGCACCCACGCAATTCTGCAAAAACTAAATCACACACACCTTCAGAAATGGGATCATCTCAATACCTCACAACAGTCATCCCATGTCAGGAGCAGCAAAATGCTGGACAAGAGAAGAAAAAGTGAAACTAGAGACAAAAAAAAAGAGTATTGAGGAATGAATGGAGCGGGATGAAGCTGTGAGCTGATGGAGGGCAGGGCAGAGATAGCTGGCTGAAGCTTGATAATCTCACTGTTATTAAAGGCCAGGGACGAATCTTTAACCCCCACCGCTACAGAGAATTACTGTAAACCCCCTCCACAGCAGCGCATGAAGAGAGGGGGCGTATGTGTGCTCGAACGGCAGGACAACACTTAGCTCACTGCCAAGCCATGCTGAAACAGTTTTAAAAATATGTTTCAAAAATAGAATACATACAATTCAGCAACAACAAAAGATACTGAAAAGAACTCGGTGTAATTTATTGAAAAAAACAAAAAACCCAGAAACTAGTGAAGGCTTGTGATGAAGCTGCTGATGCTGGTGGTTTTCATTCAACTCCGTCTTCACCTGGACGTCATCGTGACGCAAAAGGAAGAGCGATAAAAAAACCTGATGCACAAAACACAAGAGTGTCAGCTAAAAAAGGTTAACGCAGGACTCAAATAAAATCTAAAAGACCACATAAGCACCGCACAATCTTCCTGGTTTCTGCAACTCTTTAAACACACGAGGGACAGAGAATCTGAGCTAGAAGAACACAGGAAACCGAAAATACATTCGAAGATTCAATAGTTATGGTGACATCCTCTCCATCTTGCCATTTGAAATGGCGTAACGCCAGTTTATTTACAGTCTATGTAAGCTAAAAGAGGATCCCTTCTGCTGCATGCACAGCTATTATATGTCGATGATCACTCACTTGTGGGCAAACATGGCTGAAGCAAACACCGACTTATACTTTAATGATCAAACAACCATGCTGCACTTAACAAGATGTATTTTTGTCATTATTTAGTCAGATCGGCTACACGTTTTTCCAGTTAGTTTGGCAAAAATAGCCACTTTTTTTTATCTCTGTCCATCTTGAGCTCATCTTCTTGCACAAACAGGAAGAGGTTTAATGAAGTTCATGCACACCTGTTTGCCTTTTCCTGTCTTTCTTCAGTAAAAGAAACTAATAAATCTTCCTGCCAAAAAAAAGCACGTACCAAAACATGACATAAAACTGCTACAGACACCAAGGAGCATGTCTTGTTGTGGATGAATTCAAAATATCCAAACTGTTACGTTTGGGTTGAATGGTGCATGCCCTCGTCATTCTGTGACTAAAGATTTTAATTATAGTATGTTTTGTTTGATTCACTACAGTATGTGGTGTTTGACAAAATGCTTAAAACACTTTTACCATAATGGCTTCTTTTAAAAACACTTCATATCTTTAATGTCTAATATAGAATCAATTTAAGAGCCCAAGTGTGGCGCAGAAACACAACAGAAGAAATAAGGCAACACAGTGTTTCTATTTGCAGAACTCATAGCAGCTGAGTGTTTTCACACACCGCGACACTACAGAGCAGGCCATATGGTGCCACACACACACACACACACACACACACACACACACACACACACACACACACACACACACACACACACACACACACACACACACACACACACACACACACACACACACAGACAGAGAGAGAGAGGCACCCTGTAATGACTGATGAGCGGCAATGGTAGCATATGGGAGGGAGTGAGGGCATGAAGCTTATGACGGGGTGTCAGCTGCACTATTAGGTAATGTAGCAGAAAAAAAACATAGTGAGGAGGGGGAAAACTCAGAATGAGTTCTGCATGTGCTTGTCTGTCTTTGTTGGAGAGCTTTGAGTTTGCCCACATGTGTCAAGACTGGCTTGCAGAAATGAAAAGTATGGAATTTGTGCAAGCATGCATGCATGCAAGAGAGCAGAAGCAACTCACCATGGTCCTGAAGTGAGGGAGGGTGTCTACGTCAGCGAGGTGACCCGTTTAGTCTGCAGTCTGAAGCTTCTTTTTGATGAGTCCTAACCAAAACACACACACACACACACACACACACACACACACACACACACACACACACACACACACACACACACACACACACACACACACACACACAGGATTAGCTCTGTTTAATTGGGTTCTGGGAGAAGGTAAGGCGAAAAAAGCTAGCAGCAGTTCCTTCTGCTGGAACCAAATTGCAGTCACTCCTTCTGCATGCATGCAATAACACAGATAATCCTACACAGACATATTACTCTGCCTCTACTGGGTAAACCCTCCCTGACCCTACTTTCACTCATTTAGCCAGTATTTTCCCTTTAACTTTAATAATGTAATATTTTCCCTATAACAGAAGAAGACGGAGCTGACAACCCAGGAGGACTTTCGTGATTCATTCATGCAAATAAATTATGAATTTCACAAAACAAGCAATGGAGAGAAATACAGCATTAAAACCTGCAGTGTGCTGACCAAACCAGCTATCCAGCTGATTGATTGGAATATTGATCCAACCACAGAGGTGGCTGTTAAACTGAGCTACTGAACATTAGAGAATAGATGGATGGATCATGAAATCCGTCATATATTATATGTTAACTTTACAAGTTTTGTCTGATTTTCTGTGTTTAAATCTGTGCATTGATCAGAAAATAGAAAGATCAGCAGCACAAAGGTGGTGCAGCATGTTTCCACAAAATGAACAATGTGAAAAATTCCAAGGATTAAGCATGTTGTGGATTATAAACCATGCACTATTTATGCTGCTGGTTGGATGGAGTTCCTCTGCTGCCTGTGCCTGCCTCCACATAAAAAGATGAACATCTAAACAGAATCAAATGAGCGCCTCATACTGAGAGAAATTTTTATTTCTGGTTTTAAAGGTTCCTGTGACATCAGAGAAAGGCATAACAATATTTTATATCCTCTAGAGAGGAAAAGCAGAATTTTGATTATATAAGCATGTAGTTTACGGACTTCGGTGTGCATGCAAAACCACCTGAAGGCAGCCATCTGGTTATCTTATTAATGTCATGAGTGCATCTTTAAGCAGATGAGACAACCAGACATCACCTGAGACGACACCAGAAAACACACAGCTATACAAGTATAACATTCAATGTTCAAATCTTCCCTAAAGCTTCACGTCTTTCTAGATAAGCTACATAACGACTGCTTCAACCTGCTTAAAGACAAGCCCATGAATGACAGCTCTAACTCCCACAGAGGTTGTTTCGTTCTGGGCCTATCACCCTTTATGGCGCGGCAGGAGAAGGAGCGCGGGCGAAGTGTTGGTAGAGGGTTTGGTGTCAAATCGCATCCATATTCATCCCATATGTTTGAAGTCGAAAGAGAGCGGCTTTAATAATCATGCCTACATGGTGTTCAAAGAGACATGAGACATGGGAAGAGGAGGAATATAGAGTGTATGAGCAACTTCAAAGGGTTATTGCACACTCTCTCAAATATACAGGGCAGACACACACTCATATGCATGAATGCCGTACTGTATTTACATTTGAATGTCTATAACCAAAGGCATCACAGGAAAATAAGGGGAAAACTTGCAGCACTTAAGACAGACTCTTCAGTATTCGGTTAATTGCCACAACAATAAGTAAAAAGTGATTCCTTTTAAGTTTGGGGAGGACTGAATGATTGTGTGGGAGAAACAACTGCCTGAGTTCCTCTCGGTGGCGTGAAGAATCCTGCTCGTGACTGATTACTATACACAAACAAACATCCCAATTTGCCCGCTAAACTGGCTTTTTAACCCCGTCTTGTAGCGGGGTGATGCTTGTGACATTCAGCGTTGCATCACCTCATACAGTACGTGTAGAAAAAACCACAACACAGTGGCATATCAGTATCAACGTCAGTATATTTTACATGATTTTAGCCTAAACTAAAGCAAAAAAATTATTTTAAGAGGAGTTAAGACTAGAAATGTTCCAGATTGTCCTTCTTACCCATGATATATATAGAGCGAGGGAAAAAAGGATTTGACACATCAGCATTTTCATCACTAAGGCTATTTCTAAGGGGATGATTAACACAGCATTTCCATCATACGTCAACATCAACTCAAGGATTTAATTCATGTAAAGACTCTAAACATTTAAGTCCGTAAATTGAGTTATGCGTAATAAAGTGATAAGACGCTGGGGAAAAAGCATTACACACATGAAGATGAGGTGCATCAAAAACCAGGAGATCACCTGAAATACATCAGTACTAATTGATATCAGCTGCTTTAGTCCAAATTCATGGCCTATAAAGGCTTCTTATTACCCAGGAGTAAGGCTGGGTAATATCGAATATTATCGTTATCGAAATTTCTGACTCTAATCGATACTGTTTTTCCCATGTCAATAATAAATTTGATCATTTTAAAAAATAAACACCACATAACTGCAGGGTGGAAGATGCTGGCAGGGAAGGCAAACATGGAACGCCACAACCAAGTGGCTGGCATCATGTACAGAAACATCTGTGCAGAGTATGGACTGGAAGTCCCAAGGTCAAAGTGGGAAACACCCCCAAGGTGGTTGAGAACGACGAGCCAAGCTCCTGTGGGACTTCCAGATCCAGACCGACAAAATGGTGATGGCCAACCAACCGGACATTGTGGTGGTGGACAAACAGCAGAAGACAGCCGTTGTGGTTGATGTGGCAATACCAAGTGATACAACATCGGGTATCATTGTGAGTAGTACCAACTGCACATCACACATCTCTTATGTTGTCTACTTATCTGTGCAAAATATGGCAATTACTTTAAATTAGGCAATGGAAAAGCTAAGAGGGATGCAGAGTGGTGTCAAATATGAAACTGGTCAAGTTTCTAACTCAACAATCCCTGAGATCAATGTTAAAGCTCTAGCTTAAAGTTGAACAAAATACAAATTTTTACTTTTAAAGAGTAAAAGGCTAAACAGATAATTACCAATATTGATGTCTAGTTTTGAAACTTTCCTATCTAGGGTTTCAGAATTAATAAAAGAATTAGAAGAACAGATGCACAAAAGGTGCAGGTTCTCACCTGTCACCCTTTACCAGCAACAAAATACAACTCTGACTAGCCAGGACATGGACATAGAACACCTGAGGGCAGTTTGGTAATAAATCATTGGGTTTGTGTGGACTCTATGAATTGGATTTGCAATCAAAGAGAGATTAATACCTGACATTAGGGAAGTGTATTGTCAAAATTCTGGCAACACGATACATATCATCATAGACTAAACAATATTTCATGATATATTGCGAAACATTCAGTCAGAAGATATTAGCGACATTTTTGGACTAAATTAATTATTTGAAAATTTAATAAACAGTGCAAACTGATACTTAACATGTTTAACATGATGTTTATGTTTATTTATGTGGCAGACGTTTTTATCCAAAGCGACTTTACAATTTATAACCTATAGGGCATGTTGTGATCTGTGGGGGAAACCGGAGTACCCGGAGGAAACCCACGCATGCATGGGGAGAACACGCAACTCCACGCAGAAAGGCCGCAGCCGAGTTTCAAACCTGCAACCTTCGTGCTGCGAGGCAACAGTGCTAACAACTGCACCACCATGCAGCCCAATGACGCATCTAAACAATGATAGAGGGACTTACATTTCAATGATGAAAACAAAACCCATTGAACACTGCTGTCAACTAGCAGTCGATGTTTGAACTGCACCAAAAGAAAAGAAAATACACAAATGTTTGCATGTAAATTCTTCCAAAAATTCAATACACTGCTTTTGAATATCGATATAATAGTGCTGAAAAAATATCACAATATGTTGCCATATAGATATTTTCTTACATCCCTACCTGATATACTTCATAGAAATTATGCATAACCCCCCTTAATATCATAAAATTGCACACAATCTGGCAGCACTTAGCGTGTGTCTGATAGAAAGACTATCAGCTACTGCCACGTCAAATTTAATCTCAAGAGTTGAAGCCATTTTTGTTATTTGTGGCCGCTATCTCGGCTCAAGATGACTCCAAAAGGATCTCAGCCACACTTCTAATGACGATGTTTTCAGCATTCTAAATCCATTCTTCGGTTTTTCACATATCTGCCAACAAACAAATGCTCACGCAGACAAAAACTTCACCACGCTCTCATGGTGGGCATTAATGACATACGGGATATTTCAAAATGGCCACTCTCAGAGCGACGAGCAGCCTCATCGCTGGAAGCTGTGTGACGGAGCATTCATTTGTCTGTGGATGCACAGTTGGAACAACTCGCGATTATCTCTCTCTCTCTCTCTCTCTCTCTCCATTTATATATATATATATATATATATATATATATATATATATATATATATATATACACACACACACACACACATATGAGGCACATGCCTCAAGCCAAAACAGCCTTTCATCCTCCCAAAGCCGTGCATTATTGATGATAGGACCAGAGAGACACACAGACACACACACTGTTTCCTAGTGTGGGCTGGCAAAAGCAAGAAAGTCTGGG